TTGGCTTTTAGCTCTCGATTAAATGTGAGTACATAAGTGACTTGCCACAACTAATTACAGGGTATTCAAGCGTCAAACAGAGCAAACTGCCCCAATTCAAGTACAAATGGTTAAACATTCGATTTCAGTAACAATTGTCCTTACACTATTTCCAGACCCTATTCAAAAATGCCTTCTCTAACCTAATTACAGGGTATTCTTCCTTCAAATGAATCAAAATTTCCACCAGCAGTCAATAAATATCAATTACCAAATCAATTTGGCAATGCCATAAGTAGCTCAAAGCTGCTTACAGGGTATCCACAGACCGCGTAGCTCAGCGCTATCCTGTTTCTATTTTTCGGTCTCCCAACTGCCAGTCAAGCATGCAAAACTTGGTCCTTTTGTTGTCAATGCTGTTGTTGTTATTATTGTTGATGCTTTTGCATTTCAAGTTTCTCTGATTTTTTTTGTTTGTTTGTTCGTCATTTGTTAGACATTTATAAGCAAATCCGGGTCTTGTTAGCATACGTTTCAAGCTGTCCTATTTGTTACTAAACTTTTAGTCAAATCAAAACGAATGACCCACTGGCCCCGACCGGGCGACAAAAGACTTGCAATTCAACAACGGAAAAAAGAGAAGCTTTCAAAGTATTAACAAGCTCATAAAATTTCATGTAAATGGAATTAACTGCCGATTCGTAGGAATTTCATGGAAAAACTCGCTTAGCTACAGGTAATTCGAGTGGAAAAATCACACGGAGACAAAAGCAGGAAAATGTCTTAACAGATATTTTATGCATTATTGAGTAAAGAGCGAAGTACTTAATATCTTGACCTTGATTGGAATTAAATCTGAGAATGGAGCCAAAAAGCGACAGCCAACTTCTTCTTCAACTTCTGCGCTTTGCTTGTATTTCAAGTGCCTGACATTTTGTTGGCCAAGTTAGCCACGCGCCGTTTTCTTAGCGTTTGTCTTGGCGAGAACCCACTTGGCTTTCCCGACTCCCCTCCTCCCCCAGCCCGCTGGGAGCTGCTTCTATTGACACTGCGCAGACACGTTTATTTAACTTTTGTTCGATGCCCGTTCCGAGTTTTCGGATACCATAGATCTTATCCTGTTTCTGGCCAGCAGGTCGAAGTATGAGTATACACACACACACACACAGACGCACACAACCATACAGGAAAAAATATCCACCGCAAATTAATCTCTGAGCAACGCCTCAAAGAAAACACACACAATAGCAACAAATTTATTCATGGCAATTTATGCAGCAAGCGAGGGCAGCTTTGAGTGTTATGAAAGATTAGGAAACAATTGAAATGGCAAGCTCAATCTGAGCTTAGGGCTTCGGATTGAATTAGTAAGTATTTCTATAGTAACCCAGCTTAGGGCTGCTAATATCCTAACAAAACTGTTTTCCTTAATATAGAGAACTCTTTAAAGATATTAATTTTGATTCGGATAATTTACATTTCAATATTGACCAATAAAATTAGAGGATTTTTCAAACAAAAAGTGACTATAGAATATATACTATCTCTTAAGACAACTAAATGAGGACACTAATATACATATATAATATACATATATTAATATATGTAATAGAAGACAATAATAATATATAAAATTAAAATTTACCCTGCCTTATTCGATTCGTTTGCTTTGAGTTTTATCAAAAACATTTGAAATCGTTCGACCCTATATCAAGTTAAATCTACGAGAATAAATATACGTACTCACTGCTTTTATGTAAAATTTGATGAATTATGTAATCCATTTAATGGTATAAGATATGATTTTGAGAATGTGTAAATGAGTGTAGAATAAATTTCCAATCAAGTGTATGTAGGTGTGTGTGAGATGTGATGAAATATGTAGCTTTAGGTCTATAAATAATTATTGCATATATTATTATAAGTCAAAGAGATATTTCTTCTATATTTACCTTTCAGCAACTGCTCAAACTGCCCTTGTATTTGAGGAAAGCGAACATTTATATTTGGCAACGAGACATCAAATTCAATTTCAAGTTTAGCCGTAGCCAAACAGACGTGAGATATATCAAAGCTATTTTCAAGCACATATCCTTGCGTATGCCAAAAGGTGGGCCAAGACAAATCCGCTATAAGTCTATGTAGATATATGAGTGTGACTGGCTGTGTGTGTGTGTGTGTGTGTGTGTGTGTGTGTGTGTGTGTGTGTGTGCGTATGTGGTTGTCCAGTGTATGCTCTGTAGCCGCCGTCCCTTGGCCATTTTCAATTTAAAGGCAACTGCAATGTCTTCAACTTGGCTGCTTTTGATTTTTATGTGGCCATAAATTCAGTCTCGCTACCGAGCTTCATCTCATCTCTCCAGCTTCCGGGCGAAATGTGTAATTGCATGCAATGCGCCAACAGAATGGGTTATAAATGGATGCCAATGTGTTTGGCCCCTGCAGCTATAACCTTAGATGGGTGGAGAGCGGGGCGGGAAGTCGAGGGGGGGGGGGACGGATCCAAGTGCAGCAGCAAAATTGATGTCCTGTACGTTGAATAAGACATTCTCTCTCTCGCACACTCCCATCCCATCCCATCCCTTCCGTCCGTCCGTTTCGCTTTTCTCTGAGTGCAGCAATAAAAGATACATTTATCGTTTTCCAATTTGTGTAATTTCTTGTTGTTTGTTTGTTTATTTGTTTATAACTACATCAATAAATTATGTATCATATTCATACGTTTTCTTTCATTTCATTTGCTCTTCTTCTTTTTTCTTCTCACACTCTCTCTCTCTCTTTGAAAGGAAATTTGATATTGTGAAATTTGCTCAAATTGATTGTTTTTCGTTTTTATATATATGTATGTATATTTTTTTTATTTTTGCTTGGAATTATTGGGGGGAACAATACTTGAAACATCTAAGCACAAGTTAACTTTTGTTTTCGCTAGAATTCGGTACTCGTAAAGCTATAAGTTAAGTATGTTTATGCATTGAATAGCTTCACAAAGCCAATTGACTATATATATATATATATCGGTGTATATATATATAGTCCCATTGATAGTTACTTCAGAGAGTATATATAGATAACATCGGCCAGCCGAAGATTTAGAGTGTGGGTGTGTGTGTGTGTGTGCTCATTTTATGATTTTTATGTTAAGTTATTTAAATTTCATTTGCATTTTCATTTTGTTTTTATGTTTAGTTCGTAGGGTTCTAAAAGGGTTAGCTGCTTAGCTTGTTAGCCTTAGGGTTTGTGTATATCTACGCTTGATATTAACCGCAACTCTGGCCAATTAAGAATAGTTTAGATGATACATACTCATATATTATGTGTGTGTGCTGGTGTGTGTGTGTGTGTCTGTGGATATTTCAGTTGCTATTGTGTATTAATTGTTGCTGTGCTGTGCGTGTGTATTGGGGCTGTGCAGAGAATCGAATTAATAAGGCCACTTATAATAGTAAATAGAGTCAGAGTATAATGCACACATACACACAAATACGAGTATGCAAGCATATAGCCAAATACATATATTTATATATATGCTTGATATATATATCAATGTCAATCATTCATACAACATTCTTCAACTGCGCCGCTTAACTAGCCTTAACTTAAGTGGCCTTTCTAGGATTGTTATCATAATTTTTCTTTCAGTGTAATTTCTTTTTTTTTTTTTTTTTTTTTTTTTTTTTTTGTTGCTTGTGAGTGTGCCTAGAAAATTGTATTGTTGCTGTTGCTACATTTCGAATTACAAATATTTAGTTAATTTCTAGCATTGTTTTGGCTGCCTTAACATGGTTTCTTCTGAACATATCTGATCGATCTACTAGACAATATAGCAGCTAATATTCATATATTTTAATTTTAAATGTTTAATTTTAACTTTATTTCTTTTCCATTAACGCTTGGTAGTGCATTTAGCTCTATGAATTGTGTAAACCTGGTGGCGTTTACTAAATTGTTGTTTAAACTAATTAACTACGCTCATTATTGTTATGTTCAGCTCAAGAATACTTATATGCATAACCATGTACATGTGTGTGTCTGTCTGTGTGTGTGTGTGGGTGTGCGGGTGTATTAAAAGCCAATAGGTCACATGCAGTCTGTGTACCAATCAGTTATATATATATATATATATGAACCTATAGTTATATGCTAAAGTATGCATTTCTCCACTTTAAATTTACATTAGAAAAAAACTTTCTATTTATGAACTGGCTACACGATATATATGATATATTGTTCGATACTCATATATTCATTAATCTGGATTATGGAATTGGCTGTTCATTACACGCTTTCAAAAGTTAACACAACTTGGAGATCGTTTAAAACAAACAAACAAAAATCAATGATAAGAGAAATCAAAAGTTTTTGCCCTATTTACAGAGTCGGAAGCAAAATAAGAAATCAAATCAAATTAAATAAAAATAATAATAATAGTTATTTTAGAGCATAAATTAGGAAATGTAATGCTTATAATTTCATAATTGTATCAAAGGAAAAATTGTCTAATCGGTGTAAAACACAAGGAAATAAATTAGGTGCATATGCTTTAACAACTAAATCAGATTTCGCATTAACATTCTCTGTGTGTGTGTGTGTGTATATTGGGTGTGTGTGTGTGTGTGTGTATGTGTGTGTGCCTGTGCAGAGCAGAGCATTTGCAGTTGCTATCTTCTTCTTCTTCTTCATCGTCTACATCTTCGCCTTCGTCTTCGTCTTTGTCCTCTTCTTGATGTTGTTGTTGTTGTTGTTGCTTAATGATTGGTAAAGTAAAAGTTGTTGTTGCGTATGTTGCCACGTGTGCGCCAACGAATGCAACTGAGCAGCGCGAGACGTGCATTGCGTATGAGCACCTGGCCGTAGGCACAGCAGGCGCATATGCGGCGCACACGCTCGGCCAGCGTGCGATGTCGCCGACAGCGACGTGGACGCCAACAGGGCATATCTTGACGTCGACGCCGCAGCTGACGTCACTTGCGGCGCTGGAAGACGCGTCGCAGCGCCTTGCGCCAAAAGAAGCGCTGAGATTTTGATTTGCTATAGGGCGCTGACATTGAGGGTAGTGGTGGTGGTGGTGGTGGTGCCGGTGGCAACATCTCACTGATGGCAACGGTTAATCCAATATCCTGCACACCATCCACATCGTCGGTATGCTTCGGTGTCCGTGTTGGCGTTGCTGGCGCTGTTCGCACACTAGACATGGCATGGTGGATCGCATGTGACTGTGGTGTGGGCGGTGCTGAGGTGGTGGCCGAATAGGGACGTGCCTGTGCAAGCGCTGCCATTGCCGATGCCGAGGTGGAAGCAATGGATGAAATGGAGGCCAATGTGGCCACAGATGCGGTTGACTGCACGTAATCGGATGATGCAACGTCTGCTCCTGCTCCTGCTGCTGTTGCTGCTGCTGCTTCTATTGCTACTGCTACTGCTGCTCCTGCTGGCTGGCTGGCTGGCAGCCAACAACCAGGCTGCATCGTATCTTATCTAAGCCACTCATGTTGCAGACACTCTGCAGCGGTGGCACGCTTGGCCGGATCGAATTCCAGCATCGGCTTTAAAAATGCCGTAAACGCTTCCGCCTCCCGTTTCGACCATTCATATTTCTCTACCAGCACATCCATGAGGCCCCACGGCTTCAAGCCCGTTATGTTCCGCAATTCACCATTGCGATTGAACGTATACGTCGGATACGTGCCCCGGAACACAATATGTCGTGGTATCGGCCCAAGCAGTTCGATTATATGGGCTATATGATCCTCATCGCGCGTATATGTATCGCCCGAATGCGGCTCAAACAGATAATCGCCCGTGGCCAGCTCGAACACCATGCAGGCGGTACTCCAGATGTCCGCCGAGGTGTCATAGCCAGCGCCGAGAATAACTTCCAGCGAGCGATATTGTCGCGTCTGTATGTCCTCGGTGAAATGTCGATCCACCCAGCACGCATTGCCCAAATCAGCAATTTTCACCTGCACATTGCAGGGCTCAAGCGCCGGATCGCGCTTGACTCGTTGCTTGGCCAAAGGCGGCGGCGGTGGTGGCGGCAGTAAGGGCTCCGAATATGGCCCCCCGTTTGTTGACGAGGAGCCCTCCATGGAGTTATTTGAGATTTTCGAATTGCTATTCGAGTTTTGCTTCGAATTCGAATTGTTATTATTGACCTGCTGGCGCTGCTGTGGTTGCTGCAGCTCCTGCTTTGGCCTTGACGCCTTCTTATTGCCGCCAGCGGCACCATTTGATTGTCCTTTAAGCGTGCTGGTTGAATGGCTGCTATTGCTATTGCTGCCGTTCGTATTGGAGCTCTTCAGAGCGACGCTGCTGCTGTCGCCGCTGCTCGTCGAGTTCTCCTGTGGCGGTTTCTGATCCTGTGCCTGAGATTGCTGCTGACTGAATTTATCTGTCGGATGAAATCATAAATTACATGAATATCAAATTTATACCAGTAAACGGAATTCAAGACATACTCTTATTCTTCCTCTTCCTCTTTTTCTTGGCCTTCTCAGTGCCATCCAGCTCCGGTTTAATTGGCTGCACCACCGGCTCTACATCTTCACATCCTGCGTTGCCATCCTCCCCATCTACATCCTGCTCGTTATCAGAGACGCCTGCATCGCCATTCAGTGCATGAGCCTCTGGCACTGGCTGCTCCAGCTGTTCCGGCTGCTCGTGTTGCTCATCGCCGCCAGCTTGCTCCAAGTAATCGCGCTGCTTCTTGAACAGCTCCATGCGTTTCTTGGCCTTCTTCTTGAGCTTCTTCTTCTTGTTCTTGCTCATCTTGCCGGTGATGGGCGGCTCGCGGTACTCCTTGGGCGCACGGCTAACCAACGACGGATACATCTTGGAGTTCATGCAATACAACTGGGTTGCCTCAACGGCGAGGGAACGAACATGCGGCTCATCCACACACAAGAGGACATTCTCCGGCTTAATGTCCGTGTGTATGATCTTGCAGCAGCTGTGCAAATAGTCCAGACCCTCCAGTACCTGGCGTGTAATGCTCTTGACATTCTCCAACGGAATGCCACGATAATTGGACTTGCGTATGAGCTTCAGCAGATTATCGCCCAGCACCTCGAAGACCATGCAAATGTGCGTACCATTCACGCCCGTGATCTTAAAGTCATCGAACATTTGCACCGTCTTGTGGCGACGCGGATTCGTCGGATCCGTCTCACGCACCGCTCTGAGTATCTTAATTTCATCCTTGGCCGTTTCAGCGAAATGCTGCGCCGACTTCACAATCTTAATGGCCACATAGCGTTTCTCCTGCAAATCCCAGCAGAGCCAAACAGTCGAGAAATGGCCCCAGCCCAATTTGCGAATAACATGATAGCGACCTGGAAAAAAACAAAACGAAATTCGATTAAACTCGGGAGCTCACAGTCATATTTCAATGTGCACCAATCAAAAAGATGAAATCACAAATGTTTGCCTTCGATGGCAATAAATCCATGATGCAGCAGACTCGGCGAGCAACTAAACTGGATACTAAATTGAGCTGGCTGACCGAGCTCTTCAGTTGCGGATTTGTCAGCTGCTTTATTACCATATATTGGCTTTTGTGCGCATAGTATATAGATACAATATAAAGTGTGCTGCTCTCTGTGTGTGCAACTATATATATATATATGTATGTATATATAGACTTGATTAGTTAATAAACATGTAGCATTTTTTTTTTTTTTTTTGCATTGTCTGCGGGCTCTTATCATGGGACAGAGGCATGTGCCTTATCGCTGGACAAAAAGGTTAGCGGCATTTTCTTTGATTATAAATTATAAATCCCCCCCAAATATGAACTTTATGCACATCATTTGCTATAACAAAGGCCCCCCTCAAGCCAACAATAGGTGGGCCAGCTTGAACTGGGTGGCTACAACAATAACGACAATATCCAAAAGGTGGCGGCCATGTCGCCAGCAGCAACCGCAGCAAAGCCAGCCAAATTCGTACAGTGCCTCAAACCCATAAACAACCCTTGAGCGAACAAACCTGCCTGCTCACATCAATGCATGTTTTTATATACAAATATATATATACATATATATATGTGCATGTGTTAAAGGAGGCGTTCCATATTAACAACCTGTTGGCAACAACAACAGGAACAACACGAACAACCCAACATAATCATGTTCACAAACAGTTTTTGAGCTCGATTGCCCCCCGTTCCCCCGTACTAAAAACAAAACAGAAGGAAAAACGATTGCGTTTTGGGTCAGATTCTCTATGCAGCACGAAATGGGTTTATGTGAAACACACAGCGAAATAAAAAAAAAAATAAAAAACACACACACACACACAGAAGCTACAATGTCAACTAAATAAGCAACAAAGTTGTTAGCGAACACGCAACGAAGCTTAAATACTCTAACAAAATCGATATATCAATTAAGTCAATCAACTGTGAACTGTGTGAGAGCTGCAAAACAAAACAGTAAAATGGAAGGGAACGCTGGAATTAGCGAACTAGAACACTGAACTTTGAACACTCTGTGACGTTAGAAACATTGGAATTGGTGAGCATACTGACGTAATGACATAGTACGTATACGTAGTTGCAGTTGAAAAACAAACGTTTTACGTATGTCCAGAAAGAAGACATTAAAAGATAACCTCAAGACCTTACGCTTATTATTCTATAATTATTATTCTATAAATATTTGAGAGTACAAACAAACAAATGCTTGCGCACTTATAAACATATTAAAAGGAACGTTAGATGGGTAAACTTTGAACTATTTGTGACGTAAGAAACAGTGGAATTGATACAAACAAAAATATAGATCTACGAAATAGTTTTGAAATATAAGGAGATTAGCAGTTTGAAGCTAAATATGTAGAAGACTCATAGAGGTTGTAGCTGGAATAGTGGAATATGAATCCAACTTATATCTGTATAATATATAAACGTAAATTAAAGGCAGATTCAAACATAGCTGCTTTTTCTTAACACTTATCTTTCAATTTGGATCAAAATCGTAAACACTCGCCACATACATACGAAATAGTTAAGATAGAAAATCTAATCTTAAACTTTGAAATTGAATATCTAAAGGATATATAGAAATATAAGCTGAAACTGTGTGGAATGTGGAAAGGAAGTGTGATATCTGTTCAAAGACAAAAAAGAAAATTAAATAAAATATGATATGATAGCTGGTAGATAGCTGCTTCTTCTTAATATTTATCTTTCAATGCCCAGCAATGCCATTATCTCGAAAATTCCGGTCCAATACTGCACAAAGAAATGTTGGAATTGGTAATCGTACAAATGGAAATGAGTCAATCGACCAACTCAATTAGTTAACTGACCTCGTGAACAAGGGTATACCAAAAATGGCGTGCAATCTAACTGCTTTGTTTCTTTGTTTTGCTGCCACAGCGGTATTTGTGCGGCAATTTGGTGTGAGGTGCTAACAGGTGACGGGGAATGAATGGGTAAATGCATAGAAATACTTACCCTGAAACAAATCGCCAATATTGACTGGATGGTAGCCACCCTTGCAGTAATCCTCCTTCAGTTCCTGTTCCTCATTTTCGCTAACCAATTCCGATTCGTCCGATTCGTTGGATGAGCTGCGCGCTTGCTGCTGATATTGCTGCGACTGCGATTGCGAGTGCTGCATATTGTTTTGCGATTTCGATTTAGATTGGGCATCGGGCGTATTCGCCGAGCCGCCGCTTGATGTGGATGCTGTGGCATTGCTAAAGGATGCCGTAGATTTTGAGTTAATAGCGCCGCTAGCGTTGCCAACATGCAGTTCAAACTTGCTGGCGCCCTCTATGTGGCTATTATTAGCATTTTCTGGTGCTTGAGTTTCGGGCTCTTCATATTGTTGTTGTTCTGGTTGCTCTTGTTGTTGTTGTAGCGGCTGCTGATGATGCTGTTGTTGTGGTTGTTGTTGTTGCTGTTGGTTTTCTTGAACGGGAGCTCCGTTTGCTCCATTTTGCTTGCCCCGCTTCTTGTTGTTCCTATGTCGCTTCTTCTTCGCTTGAATAGCCAAAACACGGCGGTTGACGTCAGCTTTTGAATTCATATTATTTGTTGTTGCTGCTGTTGTTGTATTTCGTATATTTGTTATACGCCTATTATTTATTCATATATTGCTGCTTCTCGTTCGATCGCTCGCTCGCCTCCGCTAATTTTCACCAAGTGTAACAGCTGTTGAAGAAAAAACAACAAATAAAAAAATGTGCTCAAATCTCCATAAGGCAATGCAAAACGTTTACGTTTGTATTGTGATAGCTAATGTTGTCGTTGTTGTTGTTGTTGTTACTGCTGCTGCTTCTACTATTTCTGCTGTTCTGGTTGTTGTTGTTGTTGCTGGTGTGCGCACGCCTTTTCCTATGCTGGGGCTTCGTCTACTCGCCTCAGGGCTCCCACTTGTTCCAATTTGTCAATGCAGCAGCTGCTGCTGCCTGTTTGCTATAATTGCAATCCCGCAAAGCTTTCAACAATATTCACCAAAGATAATTTCGCAACAGACAACAAAAAAACAAAGAAATTTGCTCGCAATTTACTTGGCAGCACGTATTGCCTTTTTATTCGCTAGTAGCAAAAAAAATCAAATACAAGTCAAACAAATAGATGGACGAGCGAAATTATGCCAAAGTGAGCGCTGCCAACTTTTTCGTTCTGCATGCACACTGCACACTGTGCACGCGCAATTTAGTGTTACTTTTTAAAATTGTATACTAAAAATATCTACATTACGCTAACTATGAAAACGATGCCTTAATGAAATTTTAACAACGATACTTGCTGTAAAAATGTGCAAATTTGAAGTATGACTGAGAAGCAAACGAGTTAAGTTGGCAGCACTTGTCGCCTAGTTAATTCTTAGTGTGCTCACTCACACACACATACACGGACGAACGGCTCCTATTGCCTACTCGCTTGCACAGTGGCTGCTGCTGCAGCACACAATTTGATTTTGCATTTCAACTACCTAGCTTGTTTACAAATTAGCGTGTCTCTTATGTTATTTGTGTTTGTCAACTTACATGACTTTAAATGTTTTACATACATGCTAATCCAAAGACATTTTGTGGTGAAACGCATGGAATAGTATCCAAAACGTTGGCTGCACGCCTATAAATTTGCGAGTGGAAAAATCTACTACCGAAAATACAACACTGTCTATGAACAGTGTTAGTCAATGCTACTAGCTAAAGGTCGATCAGCTGTTGTGTTGTTTGCAAATCGTGTAGATAGCCCAACCTTGCTAAAAGAAATTAGCAAAACAACATATTGTAACAAAAGAAAGAAATATGTAACACAGCTCATAAGGGTTTTGACAGAAATTGATGTGACATGTAAAAAGGAATATTAAAATATCGATATTAATAACGATAGATATCTTAGAACTGCATGCTCATTACATTATTACCTATCGAGAATTTGCTGAAATAGTCAACTTGTCCTTTGTTGCGGCTAAACAGCTGATTGCTGCAAATTATATAAATTTTGTATGTGCTGTGCAACTCAAGTTTAAAAGTTAAATGCGATCTGAATTTTTACTACATTAGTGTATTATTTACTATTTACGCTACCCATGAAAGTTTCTCTGCAATTCCACTACACAAAATGCCACTCTCTCGACCAGTGCTGTGAACTGCATGCATTGGCCCAACAGCTGTGCGACGGCGTTGTGCAACACACACGAAACCATTGAAATGGCGCGAAAATAATTTGGCGCGTCGCCGAACATTTGGAGGGAAACTGCATCGTCGTGGCCCAGTTGTAATTTGAGCAGCGGCACTGGCAAGACGTACATGGAAGAAATATAATAAGAAACAAAAAGAATAAGTGAGAAACCCACACACAGAAACAGACGTGCCGCCGAGTGAAATTTTCAAGACACAATATACAGCAGCCCATAAGAATAGCATTTAAATCAAATAAATTCGAAATAAAATGGCCCAGCCATCGGTAGCTGCATTTTTTAGCAATCGCAAACGTGCCGCCGTAGATGATGCGACGACCATTAAGAACAGGGTAAGTGGCTGCAGCATGTGATGCAATGGATAAAACGTGGTGAAAAGTGCAAAAGATTCAAATGAATCCTAAGGATACTTTCGGAACTCTAATTATAACTGTGCGTGCGTGCGTGTGTGTGTGTGCGTGAGTGCCGCGTCCTGCGGCCATTTTCTATTGTTAAAAAGGAGACCCTTTAACCTGCTTTTCTTTTGTAGCGTCTTGCCGAGCCCGCAGAGACAGCTGCTCCACAGAGCATAGTTCGCTCCAGCTCTCACACAGATCAGGATGTGGACATCGATGCACTCAAAGGTGGCATGCGGACACGCTCCGGCCGCAGCGTCAAACTAATTGGCGTACAGCCAGCCACACCAACGCAAGACAGCAAAAAGAAGACACTCAAGGCCGAGTCGAACATCAAGCAACCCAAGCTCGTCCAGTTCATACGCAAGGGTAATCTCTCGCCGCGCAAGCAACCGCCCCAGCAGCCACAGCAGCAGCCCGAGATTAGCAATGAACAGACGCCCAAACTCAATTTGTCCCTTGTGGCCCAACAAAATGCTGAAAAGGCGGAGCGCGGCATGCGCACGCCCACCAAACAGATCAACAAAGATGCCTCGCCCGTCAAGCACCTGGAGCTGGCCAAGCGTGGTCTCACCTTCGATGAGGTCAAGACAAAGATCTCGCGCAGTGCCAAGATGCAGGAGCTGAAGGCGGTGCTGGCGCGCAAAGCTCAATTGGAACAGCAACGCAAGGCGCTGGAGGAGCGCAATCGGCGCCTGCGTGAGGCGGGTCCATCGCCGGCCAAGGCGACCAAGAGCCTGCAGCTGAAGGAGTTCGATACCATCGAGCTGGAGGTGTTGACCAGGTGAGTGCTCCATGGCCAATTGACTGCCGCAATAAAAGCCAGTTTGGCCTAGAAACGCAAAAGTAAACAAAAACATATGCAGCACACTTAGTGCCCAAAGAAAAAACCGGGTAACATCATTAACAAAAAAAAAAAAGAATATATTTTTAAGGTTCTTTTTTTTTATAATTTTGATATATGTATATTCATATATGTATAGCTAGCTATCGAGGTCGCATGTCTGTTGAGCTATTATTCAAGCGTCCAATTGCTGAAATTGCAGTTTCTTTGACCAAGCTGCAGCTCAACTGCTTCGGCTTCATGTTGTTGCTGTTGTTGTTGTTGTTGCAAGCGTGACGTTGCTTGTGATCTATGTGTACTTGAATTTATGCTGCATTTGCTTACACACAGTTATACACACGCATACGCACACATGCACGCTCGTACACACACATGTTTACCCTTCGCCAACATAAGTTACAATCTCTTGCCTGACCTTTCCACAACAACAGCAACAACAACAACAATAGCAATTATCATTCGGGGGTTGTTTATCTCTATGTTTCTTTCTGTTTCTCTGTTTTTCGCTTCTCTCGCCTGCATGGGAATTTGTCGGCTTCGACTCTCCCTTTTTTCAGGTAGCTCACACAAATGTAACGGACTTTCCAACTGTTCTCTAGAGGGTTGCTTCATTATGGCTTCTCTGACTGCATCAGAATTTTTTGTATTGCTCGATCAATATTATTTTCTGATAAGACTAACGTCTGTTTTTTTTTTTTTTTGCTGGGTGTATAAGCTCTTTGATCTTAAGAGTTCTATGGGAAAGTTATTATTGCAACCACCCAAAAAATCTTGCAAGGGCAGTTTGTATATTAAATAGTACAGTTTATATGAATTGAACTAATTGCAAAGGGGAAATCAGGTTCAGTTCAAATTTATATTATCCATATTTCTGTCAATTTTCAAAATTTCATAATAAATATGAAAATGAATAAAAAATGTATATTTAAATTAATAATACTATATCCTATGTCATTTTTTACATGATTTATTATTATATAACATGAAATAATGAATAATATATCTGTGTCTTGATATGTCCTTGTAAAACCTTGTATATCATATCAAGACATCTCAATATGATCCCTAGTTTTTTAAATACTCAAATCAGAAAATATAAACATATCAATAGAAGAGGTCAATATATCAAGAAAATATTTCAATTCCCTGCTAGTACTTAAAGTATCTTGACTTTTATCTTAATGTAATATATGGTACTTTAATATCCATGTAGGAATACTGTGCAATACTTCCTAAGTTCCTAATTTTAAGAAATTATAAACTTATTTCTATATACATTTCTTTATATTTAAAAAATGTAAACTCATATTTAACCCACATCTTTCTCTCTCTCTCTCTCTCTTAGTCCCTTGAAGACATTCAAGACGCCCACCAAGGTGCAACAGCCACCGACACCGGACAAGCATGAGTTGATGTCGCCACGTCACACGGACGTCTCGAAGCGTCTGCTCTTCAGTCCGGCCAAGAATGGTTCGCCAGCCAAGCTGCTGGAGCCGCCGGCCTATAAGCGCTTCGCCACTCTGGCCGAGACGAGCAAAGCCGGCCAACTGCCGCTGCCCTACAAGCATCGGCATTTGCTGGAGGTGTTCAGGTGCCTGGACTCCGTGGTGGCCATGTTTCACAATCGCAAGGAGTGCATCACATTCAAGAAACTGAAGCCAGCCGTGCAGCGGATGCTGCGCAAGAATTTCACGGAAATGCACCTGGCGCAGATCAAGCATGTCTATCCGGATGCCTACATCTTCTCGCAGATGAAGATGCGCAACTTTGGCTCCGTCTCGAAGGCAGACTACTTCCAACTGGTGATCAGTCCCAATGTGGAGCAGCTGCCCGATCAGCAGCGACTGAATAAGATCAACGAGGACGATGTGCTCGCATCGGCTCAGTCGACGTCCATGAATCCACATGTCATGACGGCGCGTGTGCAGAAATTCCAGAGCCTGCTGCTGCAGCGGGTGCTCGAGGAGCACGACAAGTTCTTGCGCTCGCTGGATCCACCGATCATCATCGATCGTGCCCTGACCCGTTGGCATCCGCAATTCGATTTGGAGAGCTGTCGCGAGGTGGAGTTGGCGCCGCTGCCCCAGCCACCGAATGTGGAGAAATACTCCTCGGCCAAGGACATTTTGTCCACCGCTCGCAATCTCTTCAACTGCGCCACGCCCATGGAGCGGGTCATGGACCGGTATGAGGCAAAGCTGGAGGCGGACAAGCAACAGACAACGGGCGATGCCAGCACTGAGACGACTACTGCCACGCCCACGGTGAAGGAATGTACGCCCGTGGCACCTGTTGACGCAACGTCCAATCTATTGAAGGGTCTGCCCAAATCTCTCATAGACAAAATACGCGCTAAACAGGCGGCCAAAGCCCTGGATGCAATGACACGACGTCCGTCACAGGATCAGGAAGCAACGAAATACTCGCGCCTGCCGGAATTGGCGCGCCATCTGCGAAATGTCTTTGTCACGGAACGCAAGAGTGTTCTCACCCTTGAGATTATTATCAAGAAGATTCAGAATAGTTTCCGGGCGAATTTAACGCCTCAAGAGATTGAAACGCACCTGAAATTATTGGCCAAGGAGCTGCCGACGTGGGCAACATTCCATGAGGTGCGAAAAACCATGTACCTTAAAATTGCCAAGGATATGGATATGAATAAGATCATCGAGAAATTGGAGGAGATTGCGAATGAGAAGAGCAAATAATTACTGGAGACTTGGAGATTACGTAAAGAAATAAAAACAAAGCAATTCCCAGACCCTGTGGACTATATCCAGCTATACCATTTATATGTATGTTTAAGTACAACGCTTATCTAGGCTCAATTAAATAATTAGGCAATTCTATTATTGTTATTCTTACTATTGACATAATTATTATTATTATTATCATTAACATTATTTGACCAAATTATAAAAGCAATCACATATATTTCATCACAATCAATTCATTGTCATGTTCTTAAGCAATTTACCAAGACACTACAATTTATTAATTAAGATACATTGTCATTGTATTAAGTCCATTAAATAAATGTTTTTTTCTGGCAAAGTATTTAATTTTTAAAATGCAAATATTCAAATACTGCAAGCTGTTTCAATTTGAATTTAATTGTACTGCATTTTTTTTAACCTTACAATTTATTGTATTTATATTTTATAATTACAAATGAAACATTAAAAACCATTAATATAAAATATCAACAATTTAATTTTACTAAAGAAATTTCAAGTTAAATTCTCAATTTTTAAAAGATTTAACTCATATGGTATTTAAAAATACTCTAAGAGTGTTACCACACTCACCAAATTTACTTTGGTATATTTTAGTAAATTGGCCTTGTTTATCTCATTTTGAAGATAGTGTGGCAGCACTTGTATCACTTGCGCGCGCTGCACATTTGTTTCACATTTTAATGACTTATTTTGTTTAATTATCTCAAACATGATTGAAAATGAGGTAGATGAAGGCATACCACAGCCTACAAGTGCTGCGTCGGGTCAAATAAAGGCCATAGCCAAGGACACTGTGCACAAGATCTGCTCGGGTCAGGTAAGCCCTCGGTGAAGCAAATGTTGGCTACAAATTTTAAATATTTTTGTTCCTTAGGTGGTGCTCAGCCTGGCTGTGGCCATCAAGGAGCTGGTGGAGAATTCTATAGATGCCGGCGCCACACTAATTGAGATTAAGCTGAAAGAGCAAGGCTTACAGGGCGTGGAAGTTTGTGATAATGGCAGCGGCGTCGAGGAATCCAATCTGGAGGGCATGAGTATGTGGATTGTAGTTGTAGATTGTGTATGTCATTTTCTTATGAATTCCCGAATTCCAGCTGCCAAGTATCACACCTCCAAGATACGAGAATTTGTTGATCTGCTCGGCGTGGAGACATTCGGCTTTCGTGGCGAAGCATTGAGCTCGCTCTGTGCGCTCTCTGACATGACAATACAGACGCGTCACAAGTCCACAAATGTGGGTGAGTATTTGGCATGCCTGTAATAATTCATTTCCTAAGCTGCATGTGCCTTACAGCTATCAAAATTGAACTTGATCACGAGGGGCGCATCAAGAAGCGCTCGCCCTGCGCCCGAGGCGTGGGCACAACTGTCGGCCTCAGCAATCTCTTTGGCACTCTGCCTGTGCGTCGTCGCGACTTCACTCGCAATATCAAAAAGGAATTCAACAAGATGTGCCAAATACTGCAGGCCTACTGCCTAGTCACACGCAATGTGCGCATCATTTGCAGCAATCAGAGTGCGAAGGGTGCCAAATCTGTTATACTACAAACCCATGGGGCAGCCGATGTGTTGGCTAACATTTCAGCCGTATTTGGAGCACGTCAAGTCGCCGACCTGGTGCCACTCAAATCACCGCTCGAGGCGGGCCAGCTGAGCGAGGCGGGCTTGCGTGAGGCGCTACAAACGGCGAGCGATGCAGCCGAAACGACTTGCGTGGAGTTTAATGCCGAGGATGTGGAACGGCTCAATGAGGCGGGCTTTGAGCTGGAGGGTTATATTTCCAGCTGTCGTCATGGGGCAGGTCGTTCCACACGCGATAGACAATTCTTCTTTGTCAACTCAAGGCCCTGCGAGCCAAAGAATGTGAGAGAATGCATATATAATATATATATTTATATAGTTCACTTAATATCTACTTAAACTCCCACAGATAGCCAAAGTGATGAATGACATGTATCGGCGCTATAATGTGCAGCAACAGCCTTTTATATATCTCAACATTGTAACATCCCGCGCCGAGGTCGATGTCAATTTGACGCCCGATAAGCGACAGCTGCTGCTCAACAACGAGCGAATTTTGCTGCTGGCCTTGAAGAAGTCGCTGCTGGACACCTTTGGCAATCTGCCATCCACATTCCAAATGCAAAACGTTTCCATTGCCAGCATGCTGGAGCCGAAAGTGAAGGCAGAGCCAGCAGAAGCACCAGCAGCAGCAGCAGCAGCAGATGAAGCTGAAACTGTAGAGCTAGATGTACCCATTAGCTCGTCGCAGCGGTTCATGGACGTCTTGAGTCAATGGCGACGCACAGGCGACACAAAGGGCATCGCACCACCAGCTCCTGTAAAGCGACGCGCGGATGAAACGGCTGAGATAAATGCGCGCACTATGAAGCTGCAAAAGATACAGGATTTCCTTTCACAGGAGACGCCCCAAGCGATCAGCTACAAAAGCGAATCGTCGGAGGAGGAGCAGGAGGTGCAAAAAGATGCTGAGAAGCCACAGAAATCGCTGGACAGCAGCTTAGTCAGCTTAAAGCAGCTCAAGCAGGAATCGCTGGGTGAGCAGCAATGGGAGCTATTGAGTTTACTATAATCCTAAAACCCTTCTCTCCTTAGCTTATGATGAGCTGTTGCAACCTGGTAATGTGACACCGCTTAAGAGTCGATTGACCATAGCAGAGGCTAAGCCAGCAGCTGCGACGCCGGCTAAGGAGGAGTTAGAGGAACAGGTCCATGCAAAAGCTGATATTGCCAGCGAATCCTCCACGAGAGAAGACCACTTGGAAGCTGCAATCACTTCCTCTCAGGCAACCAACGAGAACTCCTCCACCTCAGAGCCCTCCACGGCCTCTCAGCCAAGATCCGAGTTCTGTCAACTCCCCCCATCTCAATCGGCCATCGAGTACAGTGATGATGAAATCGAAATGCCTAAACGCATCGAATTCGATGGCAACAGCGATTCGGATACGTCTCCGCCAAATGTAGCCAGCGGCGAGCTACGCACCACATTGGAGCAAATTCGAGCCAGCTTGCAGGCGCAAGAGAAGCAACATGTGGAACGCAAGCGCTCGGCCAAGCTTCAACGTTTGCGCTTCAAGAGCGAAATCAATCCGAATCAGAATAAAAATGCGGAAGCCGAGCTGCAGAAGGAAATAACCAAGGCGGATTTCAAGCGCATGCAAATCATTGGACAATTCAATCTGGGCTTCATCATTGTGAAGCTGGAGGATGATCTCTTCATAGTGGATCAGCATGCAGCCGATGAGAAATACAATTTCGAGATGCTGCAACGCAACACGCAGCTGGAGCACCAGCGTCTCACCGTGCCTCAGACACTGGAGCTGACGGCTGTCAATGAAATGATATTGCAGGATCATTTGCCGGTGTTTGAAAAGAATGGATTTAAGTTTGAGATAGATGCAGAGGGTGAGCTCAATAGACTATAATATATGATATAGATATAATATATATTTTCTCATATTACTAACGAAATCTTGTCTTCCGTTCAGCCCCACCCACACGAAAGATACGTTTGCTGGGCAAACCCTTCAGCAAGAACTGGGAGTTTGGCAAAGAGGACATTGATGAGCTGATATTCATGCTGCAGGATGCGCCAGAGGGCACAGTGTGTAGACCTTCCAGGATACGCGCCATGTTCGCCTCGCGAGCGTGTCGAAAATCTGTAATGGTTGGCAAAGCGCTCAATCGGACAACCACCATGAGGAGGCTCATCACACAGATGGGCGAAATCGAACAGCCTTGGGTGAGAACTTAGATTATAGATATACAAGATGATACAGTTTATTATAAAAAGAGTCACGCAAACTTAGACTAGACAAATGTTACATGTGAATTAGTTGACTAGAGCACCTTGCTTCTGAAGCCATGTGAAGTCAGTTTAGCGACTACAGACACCTCTACTCCGCGCGTCTCAGGCAAATAGAATTTGGTGAGCAGAAAGAGCAGCCAGCCGAATATGGAGAAACACAGAAAGATCCAAGATCCAATGAGCGAGTGCATCACAGGAAAGAGGAAGCCAACAATGAAATTGCAGCTCCAGCCCACCTGATTGCCCAGGGAATTGGCCACCGAGCGTGAGGACACCTCAAAGAGCTCTAAAAGAGAACAGAAAACTTTCAATAAGAACCATTACCATGAAATGAAATCCGAATCCTCAACCTGAGCCTATAAAGGGTGGCATAGGACCCAGAGCCAGCTGGAAGGCAATGAGATAAAGGAAAAGACAGGCGACTGTGCCATAAATGAGCCAAGGAAGCAGATGCTGGATTCAGGAAGGAAATTAAATCAGAAATCGATTAGGGAAAGGATTACGCATCAGCTTACGCCAAACTCGGCGCACAAACAGAAGCCAAACATGAGCAGCGCGCAACAGCTGGTGGAGATCAGCATCAGGGTGCGTCTATTGAAGCGGGCCATTAGCCAAGGACCTAGCAGCGCCGTGGCCAGGTTGACATTGCCGGCGCAGAGGCTGAGCAGCTCAGCGACGCTGGCGGATGAGCCACTGCTGCGAAAGATGAAGACGGAGTAGTAGAAGATCTGCGGGAATGGGAGAGTAAATCAATAGGGTGATCCTGGATAGATCAATTCCAGCGGCGCCACTCACCGCGGAGCAGCCGGTCAGCTGTTGTCCGGCTTGGTAGGAGCAGAACAAGATCAGCGGCATCAACAGTTTGGGGTCCGTGAGCACATCGCCTAGGCTGCGAGTGCTGTACTTGCTCGCCGCCTCCTGCTCCATGGACTGCAGCTCCAGGTCCAGCCCAGAGTCTCCGCCACGTAGACGCTCCAGCATCTGTAGCGCCTCCTCCTGCCGCCGCTTCACGATGAACAACCACTTGGGACTCTCGGCGTAAAACCGATACGGAGCATAGCAAATGGCCATGAAGACGACGTAGAAGGACAATGCCAGATGCCAATGGTCTTCAGAGCCCAGCAGCGATTCCATGCTGCAAATCTGAGCCACAACAACGCCACTGGAGTAGCCCACCGAGCAGGCGGAGCCCAGTGCGCCACGCTGAGAGGTTGCGGCGATCTCGGTATGATACATGGGCACGCCCGTGGTGATCAGGCCGGCGCCGAAGCCCACAATGAAGCGAGAGAGCAGCAGCAGCTCCACCGACTGCAGCCAGCGGCAGCTAACGAAGCCAAGCGCGGCGAGGAGCAGCAGCGAGCCGCTCAGCAGGAAACAGCCGCGACGCCCAAAGCGATTGGCTGCCCAGCCGGCGCAGGCGGAGCCCAGGATGCCGCCAATCAAATAGATGGACACAATCAGTGCCCACAGCGTCTCCAGTTGACGAGGAGTCAACACCAGTTGGTACCTGAGCAGGAGTGTCTCTGCACACCAGGCGCGCATGTGCTGCAAGGCAGGCGAAGATTAGACGGAGGCACTGGCTCCTCCTGCTTGAACTTACCACAGCCGGATTATTGATGATGGCCATGCAGTAGCCGCAGGGCACAGCGGCGCCCATGGTGCTGCCCACGGTGCTCCACACGACCAATGGTGTCCATTTGGCTTTCTGCTCCATTGCGATCGTCAAGCGACACTAATCTGGCTGGGATGGTGCGGCAGACTATTTAATCACCGGCTGAGCAGATGCCGCTTAGCAGAAGCAGCTAATCCGCTCAGAATTTATTGTCGCCAACTGCAGACAGTTGGCATTAACTTTGGCGGGCCGCTGAGGGTATTTACAATTTAGCATAGATTGTGTAACAGAGGTCTATGTATATATCTACCATCTATATACAATATAGGCTTAGATTCCTGATCCTAGAGAATCATCCAGTTTGATCTAGATCTCTGCATGAATTTCTGATCAATTTTTGCATGAAAAGAATTTTGAATATCTTTGCTAGCTTCAGTCAGTCAATAGAAGCAACGAACCCTAACGGACCATATCAGATCACTTTACCGTCGTAATAGCCCTTAGGTCAATTTACTGTCATAGATCTTAGATAAGTAAGCGGATACTATCTAATCCAGATTACTTATCTATTCCCTTACTATCTTCATTAACGACGATCATTACGAACTGTAAAAGAACAGATGATCATTTAAATATGAAATCTATATAACTTTTACAGCTCCTCTATTGATTGACTAAACTGTTATACAAAAGCCTTTATATATGATGTAGTGCACCACAGTTGGAGTTTTTAGATCGATCTATTTGGGCATATTCTAGAATCTATATATCTATCTAATATATAAGTATAATTATCTCATAAGGGCTAATGATATCATCATCTAGCTTATATAAATACTACGTGGGTTAATATTATTAAATATAAGAATATAATCTTAACTTATCAGCTTGCTAGATCATTTAGCTGCACATAGAAACTTTGGGTCGAATCTCTTTATTTGCAAGATGAATACAAACAGGAACGGTATAAGCGACTGCTTAAGGGGATATACGGTATAGTTATCATATTAACAAATTGAAAGAAATTATATTGATTTGACTATACTTAAATAGATCTGCCATAGATCTTTCCGGGTATACAGTTGCGACCTCTCTGCATATAGAATCTAATGCCTGGGTCGCTTTGATTTGAAGCCATCGGCCACAAGTGGCGCCACCTCGGATGGATCACGGCCTCGGGTCTCTGGCACATAGCGTAGGGTGAACATGAAGACCAGCAGGCAGGTGAGGGAGCAGGGCAGGAAGACCAGAGCACCCCAAGCGCTTTGTAAGGTGGGAAAGGCCATGCCAATGATCAAATTGCAAAGCCAATAGACGACGCTGCCCAGGGACATGGCAGCGGAACGTGGCGCCACCTCAAAGAGCTCTGTGAAAGGCAAAATTCATGAGAGGATTACGGGCAGAAGCAATTCAAAGGTTAACTCACCTGCGCCTATGAAGAAAGGCAATGGACCCAGTCCAAATTGAAAGACAACAATATACAAAAAGATGCAGACGATGCAGGCCAAGGCAAACCAACTATACAGATCCTGTAAGGGAAGGAGGAGAACATTAGGTAATCCTGGCAAGAATTTCTCAGTGACTCACTCACAATGAATTGCAGCAGCATGGCAAATAGAAACAGAAACACGCAGCAGAAGAAGCTGGAGAAGAGCATCAGTGGGCGGCGATTGAAGCGCTCCATTAGGATGGGACCCAACATGGCGGCGGCGAGATTTGTGCAGCCAGCGCCCAGATTGGCAAACTCCGCCTGTTGGGAGCTCAGGCCCGCGCGCCGGAATATGGAAACCGAATAGTAGAAGATCTATAAAGGATAAATAAGACTAAATGATCCAAAAACAAAGCAGAGCAAGTGCAGCCACTCACCGCATTGATGCCGGACAGCTGCTGACCGCCCAGATAGATGAAGACAATGGCGAGCGGGAGACGCAGCTGGGGATTGCTTAGCACCTGGGCGTAGCTGCTTGGCGTGCTCTTCACCCGCGCCTCCTCCTCCATGTCGCGGAGTTCCGCCTGCAACGCTTCACTGTCCCGGGCATAGCCACGCAGCAGTTGCAGCTGCTGAGCCGCCTCCACCTTGCGACCCTTCACAATGTACAGCCATTTGGGACTCTCGGGATAGCACCTGAAGGGCGCATAGCAGACCAGCACAAAGATGCCGTAGAGTGCCAGGGCCAGATGCCAGTGCTCCGGTCCGCCCAGCACCGTTTGCAGGCTAAACACTTGTGCGACGACCACGCCCACCGTCAAGCCGAGACCGCAGAGCGGCGCCAATTTGCTGCGTTGCTGCAGTGCAGCCAGCTCGCTGTGATACATGGGCATGCAGGCGATGACCAGGCCAGCGGCCAGACCCACCAGCAACCGGCCCAGACACAACAGCTCCACGGAGCGCAGCGGCCGACAGGCATAGAAGCAGATGGCGCCCAAGCCCAGCAGCAGACCGCAGATGAAGGCAGCGGGACGGCGACCAAATCGATTGGCTATCGAGGCGCCTGTCATGGAACCCACAGCGCCGCCGACGAGGAAGAGGGAGACTACTGTGGCCCATAGCAGCTCCAAGGCGTCGGCGCTTAGCTGCAGATTGTAGCGCGCCAGCAGCGTCTCCTGGCACCAGGCGCGCATGTGCTGCGGGGGCGAAAGGAGACAAACAAGAGAGAGAGAAAGAAATATGAAGAAAATGGAAGAAAAAGATAGGGAAAGAAAGATTGTAATTGGAGGTTAGGTGTACAATATAACAGCAAGTCAAAACAACTATAACACGGAGCAATGCTAGAGAATATCCATACTTCAATAAATAATCCATACTTCAATCAATAAAAGTATAACATTATTCTATTAAGGATATAAAAATAATATACATAAAGAGCATAGCTTTGTGTATAACAGAAATTATATGAAATACTAAGGGATGCCCATATACCAATTCATGTAAAACACGTTTCCTGTTAAGATCTATAAGCATGAGGAATATGTAGAATATCAATTCAGCAGTGTATAACAGTTAGTATAACAGTGATTATTACCGATGTAAGATCATGATTGGATGAAAAATGAATAGAAATTAAAATGATCTCAAACTGCTTTTAAAATATAATACTGATATATTTATGCCAGTTGTTATAGTAAGGATTAGAACAGATGCCATGAGAATAGAAACAATTAATAAAAGGATTTCAAACAGTTAGTAAACTAAGGACTAAAACAAATGTTAAAATTATTGCAAAAAAGCTAATCAAATCAGCTATAAGTGATATACAATTATGTATAACAGTTAGTGCAACACATTATAGAACAGTAGCCAAATGATAGAAAAAAGGTGATATGACATAATGATGCTGATAAACGAAAAAATGCATTCACACTCGCTTTCGCTCTGAGCAAGAGCGTTCGTGTTTTTTCCGACTTCGTCTTCGTGTGAGTGATGTGCATTGAGCCATTTGCTCAAAGCTCTTTAAAGAGCGTCGCGACGCTCATTTCGGAAGTGATACGATTCACACTCGCACAATGAAGCTCAGTAAGCGACGGATAACTGACACTCACGTACGGTGTTGATGTAGGTGTCTAGCGACCACAACCCTCGCATACATACAAGATGAGATGAACAAAAAATTTTTGAGTAACGAGAACGGAATACCCGAAACGTTAGTCTCTGAGAGCCATCAATCTCGTTGAAGGTCAGCTAGAGATTGACAGAGCTCGAAAGTCTCCATATGGAGCATAGAAACTCCCACATAAATAAGAGTATTTACTGGTGTATAACAGTTGGCAAATTGAAGCTCTACTCACCACAGCTGGACTATTGACCACGCCCGTACAGTAGCCCACGGGCAGAGTGGCGCCCAGCGAAGTGCCATAGACAGCCAACTTGAGGGTCCAGCTCCATTTGGGCTGTTCCTGTATAACTCGAGTAGTGCAAGTGTTATACGTTACGGAACGAAATTGCTGTCTTACCAAGCTCTTAGCGCTATCGCCTCCCATTTGCGCTGCGTTGCGAAACGTCAATGAGTCGCCTTCGTGTAGCTTATCCATTCGACAGCTGGCTTCCATGTTGTGTGAACCTGCGGAGGCAGTGCTTCACTGGCCACTGGGCTGGGGCTGTAATTCATTTTGGAATCCGCATCAGAATGCTGATAAGGGCGCACGATTACGATTCTGATAGCGTATGGCTTCTAAATGTAAATTTCTTTAATTGCTTTCTAACTGCAGAATTGCCCGCACGGCCGCCCCACCATGCGTCATCTAATCAATATCACGATGCTTATGGATGAGGATGAGGCCGAATGACAGCAAATGACAACGACGCCCCCAAACCAAATACTGGAAGCCGCAATAAAACGAGCTACAGCCAACTATTTGTCAACAATGAGTTTTCTTATATATATGTATGTATAATATATATAGATATATATCCATGTAGTAGTAGCTAATATATATATAAAACCTCACACGCTGATCGTGCGAAAGATATTGAAGCCGCTGTGCGCCGTGGAGAGCAGCACGCCCGGCAGCTGGGGATGCCAGTGCAGTTCCTTGATCTCCTTTTGGCCTTGATGTATGAAGAGCAGTTGCGGTGGCAGCTTGTTGATTTCCTCTTGATTTTCTGCCGGCGCTGACGCTTGATCCGCATCCGTTTCCACAGCTAAATCCCAGAGCGCAATCTGATCATCATCGCCGCCGGAGGCGAGCACGGTGGCCTCGCTGGGATTCCATTCAACCGTAGTTATGTGATCCGTATGATGCTTGAATGTGGCAATTGGTTTTTGGCTCTTGAACTGGCGCAAGTCCCAGATGTGCAGGAAGCCATCGTCGCCGCCGCTGGCTATGAAGGGTTCCGTATGGTTCCACGAGATGACATTGATGTCGCTCTCGTGCGCATTCTCACAGGTGAGCATGCAGGCCTTTTGCGGCGCTGCACGGCAATCCCAAATGCGTATGGTCTTGTCCACCGAGCAGGAGGCGAGAACGCTGCGCTCATTGGGACTCCATTGCAGGTCTTCGACCGAGGCCGTGTGGCCGACCAGCGGTCGTTGATCCACCTTCCAGGTGCCATCCTCCAGGGGGCTCCATATGTGTATATCACGTCGACAGTCGCCTGTGGCCAACACGCCCTCAGCACTCGGGCTCCAATCGATGGCGAATCCCTCCTGCTGATGTCC